TTGCTAAATAATACACAAGTTCCAAGAAATATAAATGCTGACTATTATAATTAGTTATTTATTATTTTTGAATCAAAAGTACAAGTACCTATAATAATTTTTAAAAACTTTAAGATCAGAATATTATAAGTTATTAACATTTTTATCTTAAATGCAGAAAACCTAATTGCTTAATTATTTTAAAATGATTTTCTCACCAATCGTTTTTTTGTTCTTAACGTTTTAAATTAAAGATATTTTTTCTCGGTTCCGTTCATTTGGGACTTCTCAACCAAGTTCATTCATTTTTCAAATGCGGATTGAGTTATTTAATTTTTCTACAAATTGAAAGTATAGTTACATCATTTAATCAAGAGTAATCTATTTTTAATTATATTCTACTGCTTTTATTTTCAATAACAGATTTTGAATAGAAATAAATTAGAGTACTTATAACGGAGTTTCATTTCGCTTTGATGACTATTCGTTGTATATTAAGATTAATAGCTTTTGTACATGTATTATTAATGCATAATATAATACATTGTATTATTATGAATGTCCCACCCATTGTAACATCTACATTATCGATAAAACTTTATTTCATAAGCCACTGTAATGATCAGATAACAATTTGAAGACAGACATATTAATTACCGTAGAACAATCTCTAGTTTTGATAAAACATGAAGTACAAGATATTTTTAAGTATTAAAAGTTTACTATCTATTAAACGTATAACATATATTATAATATTATGATGGCTGAGATTTTGAGACGTTTTCGTTTTTTTTTCTGTGTAACACATTGGTTCTTAATTAGAAACTGACCGTCTTGTGTTAATTATTTATTTCATTCTTAGACAATGGTTTTTTTTATAAATTCTATGAAGTAGGTACATAAATTTAAGACCACTAGTCTTATATTTACATTTAATTATACTAAATAAAAACAATATTCCTAAAATTTAAATTTACTTTTCTATCATTATTTTTAAATATAATTTTTGACTATGTATTAAATTAGTCGAATCATATAGCTAGTTTAATCAGCATTTAAAAAAAATTGAATCTAGATTTACTAACTATAAATTGTATAGACTATAATATTATGCTTGTAGACGTTGGTATACCGGGCTCTGGTGTGATCATGATTTGTTCGTGTATTATATAATATGCGTTTTTCCAGAAATAGGAACCCACAAAATTATAATATATAGCTGCAGGTAACGAGTTCGTTGGAATGTAAAATTGAGAATATACGTGATGAATAAAAAAGGAAGAAAAAAAGGCGTATCGGCAGAGGTTCCGGTGGATGTGGAGGGGCCAAACAATTGGTCAGAGTGTGAGCAATAGAGGATAATATGTTATTGTTATGTGCGAAAGCACGGATCAGCCTCGAAAAGATAGTGTAGTATACGTGTCTAGTAACAGACATACGATGGTTCGCCAATGTACGATATAATATAACGATATATTATATTATATGTGAGAGAGGAAAAATGAAAAACCGTACAAATAGCATAGGGCACGCATAAAAAATTGCAATACAGTGGAAAAAAATAGAAAATGCTCGAAACGCAATATTTGCATCGGAAACCGAATCAACGGCCGACGGATAGAAAACCGTTTTCAAAAGTTTTTTTTTCCAACTCTAGGTATCTACGTCAGGTGAATATTCGATTAACATATTTTTACGCCAAAAAATAAACTTAAACTTAAACTAAAATGTATTTTAGTGAAAATGCTTTGAAAAAAGTGATTAGGTAATATTATAATAAAATATATTTTGTAGTTATAATAACGGATTAGAACCTTAATGGTTTTCACGGTTTCAATTCCGGTAAGGTTCCGATTTTAAAAATTATTTTAACTAAGGTTTCGGTGAGGTTTTGGTTCTCATTGTTTAAAGGGGACCTGTTCCGAAACCGTTTCTTTTCAGAGGTTCCCGTCCCTGGTTATATACAATATTCACAAGCCACGATTAGTTTCTTTGTTTTATATATTTTATTGAAGTTGTCTTTTATGAATTAGTTTTTGTCCACGTCAAAATATAAATACATTCTTATTTAAACAATTGTATGATTAACTGGTACAGTTTTCATGAATAAGGGTATATTTTCTAAGGTCCCAATTTTTTGGATATAATTTGAAATAATTTTTCAAAGTTGAAAATGTGTGAATCAAATATGTATGAGTTAGTATATCATATTTTACAATGTAATATTAGAGAATATTCTAGAAATTCTGTACGTTTTGGGAAAGGAGTAGGATTTCATAATTTAAATTTCATACCCCTCACAAGCTACCTTGAACCATTATTGTGTGTTTAACCACTTACAAACAATACGTTAAAAAGGAACTAAAAAAAATATGTATGTTCACTTTAACTTAAATTTTACTAATTAAGTGTGGATGGCCGGTAGGTATATATTGTAAATGGTACAAAAGAAAACAGTATTATGAGCATTGTATTTGGATAGTGAATATTATTTAAATAACTTCATCCTAAATAAATAGCAGAAAAATAAAATAAAATCATACAAATAAATATTATGAGTTTTGAACTCTGAAGTGGTGTCACTGGAAACTCCTTTTACTCGAGCATTACAAGTCTACTTATTATAACATAACCTGTATTTTATTGTATTGTAAGTACCTTAATATACAGATTGTAGGTACATAATATGTTCTTAAAAAAAAAACTTCATCCTACACATTCTAGTGCCAATGTGTTTGCAGCAATTGAAACTTTATATTTTAAGACATAAAGATAAGAACGTTATAGTTTTTCCTTGGAAGTAGGCACCTACGTTGATTTTTTATGATATTTTAATTTTTAAGGGAGTTATGAAAATTTTTAAATTGCAATATTTTACCAACTTATTGTTGTTTAAAGTTGGAATATCTTAAAGAAACAACATAAAAATACAGAAATAAACTTCTTATCTATAAGTTGCATAATAGGAATAAAAAAAAATTTAAGAATATCAAACATCAAAGTAATAATTCTACCAAACGGACTTTTGCTATGTTGTACCTTTGTAAGTTGGAGACATGAGAGTGAAACGTACTCATGTTGCGACGGGTCACCATTGCTAATGTTCAGTTTGGCTGTTATAATATAAACAACCGTTGAAATCATATAACATAAACCGTCAAACAAATTTTGGATCAACTCTTGGTGAATTTACAATGATTCGAATATTTAAATTGTATTCAAATGTTCAATTTTATATAGATACAATATAACGTGTATTAATATAGATGAACGTGTTAAAACATTACCCGTCCGTTGACCGTTTTGTCATATGTGTTGATTTATTTGTGCTAAATTTTTTTTAATTTGGAGTTGTGAGAGTGCGACTTTTGGGTACGTATTTAAAAGTCTCATTTCCATCGACTCACTTGTACATTGAGTGGGTAACTAGGTACACAGTATTATGGTATCTCACAAAATGTAGAACGATACGATTCGCATTTAATTGCGTTATTTGCGCACCGCAACAATGACAATCAGCCAACGCAGTATAATAATTATTTTTAAATTGCGTGTTGTTTACACAAAACCTTTATGTTTAAATAAAAAATAAAAATTATATTACGCTTAATAAAAAATTCGACGAACCTAATAATATTACGATTAAAAGAGCAAAAAAAAAAAAAAAAATAATTACATTTTAACGTTGACGTTCAATGAAAATAATATTATTTCGAAAACAGTTGACTATTAATGATTGCTTTCTGTTCTTTTATCCAGAAATTACTTTTTATATTTACCATGATTTAATGTACTAGAATTTTTATACGTTTGGAATTTATTTATGGTGATAATCATTATTATTTTTTTTTAGGTTTGCTCTTACATATTATTTTGTGTCATACAATTTTTATGTTCGAAAATTTACATACAGATTAGAGTGAAAAAACATAATAATATAAAGAAGTTGCGCACTACAGTTTTGTAAATAATTCAACAAAAACGCGTTGTTATAATATAATTTTAACATAATATATGTGCACACATTCAACCGCGCGTTGGTAAATTTTATACATACGTATTATTTAATTTATGCAATTTTCTTCCGTTTGTGTATATACTGTGTATATTATGACGTTATAGTAGTTTGAATATAATATTCTTTTCCCGAGAAAAAGGTTTTTGGACTTATCGTGTCTGAAAACCCGCAGCGGTGTACGCGTGTATAGTGCGTATATTATTATTGTATGGAAACGTTTGACGGGGCGTGGGATAAAAAAGTTACTCACTCGTCTCGAGGCCGAACTATGAATCAATCTTCGAACGATATTTAGGCGAAAAAGACGTTGTCAGAGAAACGCGGTATATATTATAATACACATCATATTATATAATATACCGCGTATTATAATAACGTAACGAAATGCAGCTCCCCAACGGTCTTCTTCTTCCACCACATCCTATCTCTCTTGGATTTTTGTTTTTAAACGTTTTCATTGATTATTTCGAGTGTAATATTATTATTGACGGATGGGAAAAAAAATGGTGTACATAACCCATAATAAACCCATCACTACTACTACTCGGTCACTCGAAATCCGTGAGGACTGCGCAAAGACTATGTAGGAGCTGGTAATTTTTATTCTCATCTATATTATAATCACGAATATAATGATTGAGAAAAATAATATTTTAGGTCCACAAGTCAAATATCTTTAAAGGTTTAGGTATTATTATAATAAAGACTAACGTTTCTACCACCAGCACCATATTAATGGTTTTTTTTAAATTTGTATAAAATAAAAAAAAAACGTGTCTAGCAAAACTAACCATGATCGTAATAATAATATATTATTACGAGTGGGCTGATGAGGTGTCGCTAGGTTAACTGGACCTTTTATTGTGACAGCTTTTGTCGATTCACCAACACAGATCAGTTCAGCTTGTATAATATATCTCTGTCTGTTGCTATCACTTACAAGTTTTATTATCACATCATTCACATCTAACAAACTATATTATTATTTGTATTTTTTTTTTTTATGAACGGTCCTATTTTCTCGTTTGCAGGACGTCCGCCACCCCGTGTCACCTGGTGGCAAGAGAACGCGCTGATCGATGAGACGTTTGAAACTCTACCGGACCGGAAGGTGAGAAACGTGTTGCGACTAGAACGACTTGAACGCCGCCACCTCAACACCGTTTTCACTTGTCAAGCATCCAACAATCACATGGTGCCACCAATATCCAGCTCCGTCTCGTTGGACATGATACGTGAGTACATGCACAATATTATGTATTGTAATACAAAGTTATACCAGCAGTGGGTAGCTTTGGTCGAGTGGCCAATGGATTCGACAAATTCCAGATCGTACTAAAATATAAGACCTATGACTGCTCAGAACACTCAGACTGATCGAGATCAACGTATAATGTCAAGACATTGGGGTATACATTGGTTTATACCTGTGTTTTGGTGCTTAAACAGGACATAATTTGTTTTGATTTTTAGTGAGCATTTTTTGTGATTAAAGTACCTAAAAATAGTAACTCATTCTTAGTCACACTATATTATTATGTGAAAGTAAATATTTCCAATATATCTATCGGTAATGAACGAACTAGCTACAATTATTGTGGATAGGAAAATGTATTATTTACTATCAAATACAATTTCATATAATATATTATAGTATCAAGAATACATATAACACAAATTATTGCCTAATGTACTGCTGTTTGACGATTAGTTCAATACCACGTATGTTGTACTAAATATAACATCAAAGTATAATATTATTATTGATGTAATAATATTACAATGATATGAAAAATCGATGAAATATCGAATAGGCTGTCCGATGTCTGTTTGCTTATGCAATATTAACGATATAATATACCTGTGGGTAGATACGTTTTGGCAGCGAGACAGAGTGGCACACGGAAATTGACAAAAACCATATAATATATTTAGGCACATTTATGTATGATATATATTATATAGGTGCGGTCGTATCGGATGTTCGACACATATCGATTCTCTTAAATCTGGTTAAAACTCGACAAGACCGACTGAAACAATATACTATAAATAAAACAGTTGAGGTTCACGTTTTAACCGTATAAATAAATAACATATGACGTGTACTACAGTTATAACAAAACGTAATCGAATGCGGTTCTGGTAGCGGTGGTTTACGTCCCACAATACTGGATAGAATTTAATATCATACTATTACAGTAATCGATTAAAATCTAAAACGAAATGGGAGACCACCTTCTGAAACGGACATTTTGTCCCTCGATCCGACGCAGGTCCTGACTTTGGATGGATATAATATTATTATGTAGCAGTCATAAATGACATGGTTTGTGAGGGGGGTCTTAATCGGTAGTTTTCAAATTGCGCCGAAACCAAGCAACTTCGTAGTAGCTCAAGGTACTATTTGTATTTAATTTTTAAATCACCTGATTTCGATCGATGTAGGTATGGGTCGTCCAGTTCATCTTGGTGGTCGAAAAACTATAATATTTATCAAAAAAATAACCACTGTTTTTATTTTTTATATGATCGAGCAGGTCGACGAGTGCAAATAGGATCTTGCAGGACGGATTATGAACTCTCAGTGACCGTATATAACAATAATATCGTATATATTTACGTCAAGCGTACATTTGAAGACGTAGTTGAAGTATCGTAGACGAGTATAGACCTTCGTGAAGTCTGTGTCGCAGGCTTACATCGTCATTATTCAGACTATTTGTGCTGTTCAGTCGCAGACACACGTGCATGCACATTAACGCATAATATATAGAGCCGACCTCCGAAGACGTTAACGATCGGACCGAATTTGATTTATGGCCCGTTTCTCGCCACTATCCGATTTAATTTTCGTTACGAATTATTTATGTTTTCCCCCGGCCCGACCACGCGGTCGACCACCGACGAGTTTAGCGATACGTATCGATTTATCGTGTGTTTAAGACTCACCGCCGCCGGATGCGTGGGTATTTTACACGTCGATACGTGTACGTATAAATAACAATACTAATAATATTATTATTTTATCCGACGCCGATCGACACGACACTAATATTATTATATTTTGTGTACATAATATTATGTGCGTATTTGTGAACCAAGTGCTGTGTAGGTCCGACGCGAAAAAAAATTACTCATCTAGAATTTAAGAGGTCCGAATAAAAGCCAGATTAGCCATTTCGGCAAACCAATCACCCAAATACTATTCTGGTAGTGCTCTTATAACAGCGAATTTATTTGACGTACGAAACGACGATGTGAAGTAAAAGGAAATATTCTCTACACAAGGATCGCAACAATACTATGGCCAATCGTTTTAATGTTTTAATACATTATATTATTATATCATCAAGTATAGATTTTAACTAATTTAATTCCTGGCAGGGCTTGCATTTAAAAAATAAAATCAGCTTTTTGCTATTTATGATTATTAAAACGTAAAACTATTTTTGCGTTGATCGTTATTTTGAATTAAAACGTTTTTCAACTTTTGCATTTATCGTCATTCAGAATTAAAACTTTATCCAAGTTGTTAGTTATTTAAAATAGTGTTAATACTTATTAAATTTAAAAATAATAACTAAAGCGGGTAGGTAATGGAATATAATATAATCAATTCTTAGATGGTTTGCATGAAATAAATGTTTCTATTATAGACCTTTTAAATAAATCGATTTTAAAATATTTTTCGTTCAATGACATTCTATAAATAACGTTTTGAGTTATTTTTCGCTTAATGATACTATATAATTTACGTTTTGTGTTATGTTTTTTATAATGATATAATATAATATATTTTGTTATTCGTTATGTTTTGTTTTTCGGTATTTAATTATTTTTGATTATCACTTTCTGTTAATAAATTGACGTTTATAGATAACGTAAAGCACGTTTATAAATTTCAATCATTTTTTGTCAAATATAACGTTATTATAACGTCTGCAAGCCCTGATTCCAAGTAAATGTTTTTGATTTTATTTATTATAATAATTTAAAGTATTTTGGTTATTGTAAACTTGTGATTTGACGTTTCCATACAAGTATACAACTATAGTGTACAGATAACACAAAATTATTCGTAATATCATATTATGTACATTATATTTTCATAATCTTTAATTACATTTTAAGAGTGCCTAAAGTTTTTAGAATTATATGAACTTGAAATAATAGTACATCGATCCGATAAAAATGTTCAACATTATAATTGTTAATAAAATATGTCAATTATTTTGAAAAATTATGTAGGTATGCTTTGACTGACCACTATCCATCTGATTTAAATTCAACTATATATTTTGATCGTTAGAATTCCATCGTTATTGGTGCATATTATTATTATTTCAATAAATTGCTTTAGAACAAATTTTACATAATATGTAGTATATTTATATATATGTAAATAAATCATATGTTGGAGCCACTAGATTTGGTTATTATTTTTATCTCAATATAAACTTTCAAAAGTTTTAAAAAATTTAAAATAGTTTTCTAATTTATTTACATTTGAAATATTATAAGACCGTTATATTTTATTCATAAAATCAAATAGATACATCTGTATATTTGAGTTTGTTATTAAATTTGCAATAAAATGTGGAAGGTAAGAATCTTAGTTCTCAGAAAACTGATTTACAAAATATAAGTTAGAATATTAAACTGTAATACTGAGAATTATATTTTGTAGTATAAATAATATTATTTCTATAAATATTCAGGTTTATTTTGTTAGGTACTCTATAAATAAACAACAAAATAATTTTAATTTTATTAATTTTATTCTATTTACAATATATAGTATATTGGTACCTATACTATATTTTTGTATACAGTCAACTTCGCTTAGACATTTTTTTTCAGTTTCTCGATAAAGTTTTTATCACAGTTATGCTTATAAAATTTAATCGACTTAAAAATATGAATAAAAAAAATTTCAACAGTGCTTTTGATAAAATAATCCATAATTATTTTTACAGGGTAAATTGATAAATTTCAATTTTATATAAATATACAGAATGTACTACGAGGAACTTCTTTTTAACAGTTTTAAGAAATTCAAAGTATATTCTTCTCGACCATTAAAATGTAAATATCCGATTTTCCATAGACTACACTACTATACACTGATAATTAAGAGTCAACAAATATAAGCCATCTTTTATATTGACCGATTTAATGATAACGAGTAAAAATAATAATAGATATAATCAAAACCTAATCTCACATAGTGGCACCCAAATAAGGTAAATTTAAATAAGATAATATTATCCCTTTCATCGCCAGTCTATAATTTATTATTGTTATAATTATGACAATAAAAATATACATTCACATTTCACATTGGATACTCAATACTTACTTCGGTCGAACGATAGGAAGAATCATACCACCGTTGTGACGTTTTTACATTGATAATAATTATTACAACGGGCCGTTTAATTATCGGAGTTCGTTTCGCTGTGCAGGTAAACAAGGGAGTTAGAGGATGTTTTAACAATCGCAAACGACATGTTGTAAAAGCGTGAAAATTACACAAATACGACCGTCATCGGGGCAGCAGTAACACGACACTTTCACAAGCACAAAAAGCCGTATCCGACAAACCGTGAAGTCAACCGAGATATTTTCTCAGTGCGATAATAATTGTTGAAAAAATAAATCATTAGTCGTAGTGTATGGTTCACTATAAATTAATAATAATATATTCCCACCAGACCCATCCAGGATGACATGAACCCTTGCAACACCCGCCAAAAGTGCATCGCAGGATCGTAATTGTATTTTAGTTTTTTTTTTTTTTTTTGTGAGCTATGGCTGCGGGTATCTATATAGAAGAGATTGATTACACCATCGACCTTGAGATTATTATACTTTTCGGTACCTAAATTATCTGGAAAAGGTACCGAAGTTATTTGGAACTGATACCTTTATTTCGTTTTATCAAAATACCAGAGCCGAACCAGAACAGTTATTTTATTTCTGGAGAACCAGTACCGGAACCAATACCGATAAATTTAAAAGGTCCAGTCCCTGGCCTAATATTATATAACTATACGCCGCAACCATGTCTTAACAAGTTTGACGTCTTTACTTTTCACCCTGCTAAAATGTTAGTATCGTGAATTTTTAATTTTCAGTTTTACATTATTTTTGCTCTTAAAATAATATCCTATGTAAGTTCTAGATTCATTAAAAACGATGCTGCCACTAAACGATATACCTCATCTTGCCTTCCAAACAGTCAGGGAATAATTTATTCCAAGTAACTTTACCTATTGATACGTCCATTTGATAATTTAAAAAAATTTAATTTACAAGACTGCCAACAGCCGCACG